TTTGCTGTTGTAAGGATTGGTAGAACGACCCCACAGGTCGTTGGAAGACTCGAAGCTAAGGAGGGTGATGGGGATGTTGGTCTTGACGTATGGGACAGCCCCAAGCTCCTTCAACAACTTGACAGTAACACCATCTTCTGCCTTGGGTTTGTGGACATTACACGTCACACCGACGGAGCTATCATAGTCCTTTACATCAATGGTATCCTTCAAGCTGACAGGGATACCAGCAAGAGGGCCTTTGAAGTTGATGGAGCCATCCTTGATCCACTTCTCAGCATCCTCAATGAGAACTTCAGTGACACAGTTGGTCTTCGCATGGGCTTTCAATGCGACCTTTCCATAGGTATGTAGGAGGTCGGCAGCTCTGCTTGGGTCCTTGTGTACTTCTTGGACAAGCTCCTCAATGGGCTTGTTGATGATCTCCCGATCCAATGGACTGAAAGGAGCATGGTAAGCAGTCAGAGCGCGAATACGACGCACACGCTCATCCTGCTTGAACCGGCTATGAGAAAGATGGAGGTGTTAACGTGGGGTCAACAGCAGTTTGGTGAGAGGGGGGGTATGGTGAGTTGGTGACAGGGGAGGGGGTCAAGTAACGACCAGTGTTGGCCAACTTAGGTACTGTCGACGGTGTTGAGGTTCATAAACGTCTAGGATGAGGGGAGCCAAGACGCAAGACAACACACATAACGAGCACTTACCAGTCACGGCGGTGCTGCAGGTAATCTAGAAGCATGTTTTGAGAAGAAGTCGCCAGACTCCGCAGGCTATTTATTGGATGCTGTTTGATGCTGTTGGGTGTGATATTGAAAGAGGGAAGTCGAGGGTCAAATGGTTGTGGTTGGATGTAACTGGTAGTAAACGGGCAAGTCACGAGGGTCTGCGGCATGGATTAACCATCACGGAGAATGGAGACGGCCGTTGAGCCCGGAAGGGAAAGAGTTGTGACACGGATGAAGACACAGAAAGGTCAGTTGGTCAGGTTGGAGGCAGGTGCGCCGGGCCGGGGAGCAGTTATTAGCTATCACAGGGCGGAAGCAGTGGAACCCGTTGATAACCGGCCACTTCACGACGAGGTGAGTGGTCAGAAATTAGAATGTGTCACCAAGTCGTCGTGTCTTTAGCCCCCTGCGGGCAGCGACGTGGGGGGGCTGGGGTTTCTCCAAGGCAAAACCTGGGGTGATGGGCAATGGCTGGTTTGGGTGTGGCAAGTCGCCCGGCTGCCCTCCGACTCCGAGTGCTCCATTTCTCCTCCGATGGCGGCTCCGATGGGCCTAAATCCCCCAGTCAGAAATTTGGCCATTATGTAAAAGTACATCGACCTGGTTCAGTGAAGCTGTGATCAGCCAGGCATGCTATTGTCTGACCTGTTCACATCGCGTCCCGTTGCACCCGCGTTGTGGTATAAGGACGGAGCGCAGTGCATGATCACGTGCATTTGAAGTCGATACTGCCAAAGGGCAAAGCATCATGACGGCGCCGTATCTGATCTGTTTTTTCAAGGTCGTTATATTTACTTCACCAAGCCACCAGAATAGTAAGTGCTATTGTAGGCATGCCATGAAAAAACCCACTTCGAAAACTTGCCATCAGGCAAAGCACCAAGTCGTCCGTCTACGTCATGGCGTTATCGGGTTCAGCAGCATCGTTGGAATTCTTTTCATTTGCTTCCACTGCCCCGTCCGAATATCCTAATAGAGACTATAGCCCTGATCCTATAAACCGCGACTGACAGTTAGCTAGCTAAAAACACTATATAACACGTATAAATATAACGCTTACTTATTTTTAATAAGGGATTTATATGTAAAGTTATAAATAAAACCTATATTATTTATACCTTTTTATTTATAATATATTACGCTACCTAACGCCGGGCCTAGAATGGTACGGCATAACACGACGCTAAGAGAAAAATACGTGATAACCCTAAATGCCTAGATACTAGGAAAGACAACCGTCCAGAGCACCGAGGCTAACCCGGACCCAGCCTGGACTCACCACCACACACGCTCTAACGAACCACCACTAGGACAGCTAGTCTAGTAGGTACCTTTAACCTACATAATATGGAATATGCTCTATATAACCCTGGGGTTATAGCGGGGCGGGGATAACCCAAAATAAAAGCGAGGTGTTACGAACGTCACTGCACGAGATTAATTAATATATTAAAGTTAACTTAAACTTAACTTAAACCTATTATTATATACGCTTTAATAAACTATTATTAAAATAATTAGCCTAATAAATACGTTTAACTTATATAATTTAAAATATACTTTAATAATTATAGGTTATAATAGAGTAAAAATGACTTAAAATAAAAGTAAGGGGGTTTTTCTTTTTATATAAAGGGTTTTTTTACTTAAATTACATGTAAAAGTACTAGAATAGCTTATAATAGCTTATTAAAATAAACCTAAAATATAGGATAATTAAGTAAGAAATTAAAAAAGAACTTTATTTTTAAGTCTTTTAATAATATAAGATTAAAACTTATTTAAATTATTTAATATTTAAATTAATTC